ACGAGGACCGATGATTTGTTAGATATTCAATGACCAAACTGCCGGATGATTTGGCTAGGGCTCAGTGGAATTCCACTGGCCCTACAGCCTCATCCCTAACACTGTGTATATTGAAAAAACGTTTCCAGGTGGCGATCATATCATTGTCATATGTAGCCTCAATGTAAATACCACAACCGGTAGATGCGAAACTGTAACACTTCGTAGAAACCATCACAAGATCGATTGGAAAAACTAACAAAATTACATAAAAAGTACTAATTGGGGAATCTCCTTTACTACAAACAATACCGACACACTAATTAATATGTTCTATCACAACACCAGAAATATCTTCAGCAAATCGCATCTTTATGATACCGGAAACCTAAATTTTCTAAAAGCCTGTATATATACCGGTCTCTACGCGAAGACGTCTTTCAAACATATTACTCGATTCCACAACCTTAATGAATTTTCCACTTTAGTTACGATAACAAAAAAATATTTGTCAGGGTAGGGGCAATACCTACACAAAAAGTCGCGAAGGAAAACATGCTATCGAGCTTAACAATAAGTCCTCCACACTTATCAAACTCCTTCAAAATAAAATTAAACGTACTAAATGGAACAGAGGAAACGTATTTATTAAGGAAAAACAAGTATACGAAGATTCTAAACTTGTTACGAAATTATTTAGTGAACACTTCAGTTCCTCATTAACTACCGAAAAACCACAAAACGATTCAGAAGCAATCCCAGTACCTCCCTGTGAAATTACTAATGTAGACTTCAATGTACAGAATATTTTTTTAAGGCAATTAGCACACTGAAGCACTCCTACACGGATTAACCAGATGGTATTCCAGCTAGCATGCTAAAAAGTGGAGGTGATGATATGTGTGTTTTGCTTCGCAAACTGTTTGCAATATCACTCTCTACAGCGTGTTATCCTAGTGCCTGGATAACTACACATATCATTTCCAAAAATAAGACAGGACCTGGAGTAAATATTAGAAATTACCGGCCCATAAATAACCTCAATCGTATCTAGAGTGGTAAAAAGAGTGGTTAGGACGGCGTTAGTTCAACATCTGCTTACTAGTAATCTCATCTCGATCTCGCACCATGGGTTTCTTAGGTCCAGCTCATGAGATACATGCCTAGTAGACCACCTGAATTGTATAACTTTGAAGAAGAACAACGGACTGCTTGTATCGGTTATATAATTAGAGATTAATTAGACTTTTGACAAGGTCCCACACAAAAGGCTTCTCGTCAAACTCAAGTCCTTCGTAATCGACAATCCACTATATTATGGTTTGCTTCATTCTTAACAGAACGTAAACAAATGATAAACTACAATGACTCTTTCTCATCACCCAGACCAATAACAAGTGGAGTCTTTCAGGTAAGTGTGTTAGGTCCACACTTGTTTCTTATGTATATAAACGATTTACGTAACACCATAGAATTTGGGAAACCATACTTATAGTATGCAGCTTTAAGCCTGAAGTGCTAAGTGAAAGTGTATCCCAGATTAAAAGTGACCTCAATGACCTAACTATCCGGAGCAAAAAATGGCAATTGTCGTTTAACTTTAAAAAGTATTTGACTACGCATTTTGGAAAACATTTCTACAAACTACAACTTAAATCAAATAAATGTAGAGTTCAAACACTCAAATCAGTGCACGATTTAGATATTAATTTAGGAAGCCTAAAATTTAAAGAACGTGCCTTCTTTATTATTGCTAACCCTAGACGGCTAACTGGTTTCACAATGAAAAAATTTATTCACAACGGAAGCTAAGCTTACCCTTTGCAAAATATGTATACGACCCTCCTTTGAAAATTTCCCTTTTATCTTCTCAAACACGAGTGCCACACACAGGATAAGAGTAGATGTTCAAAGACGCTTCACACACCAACTGCTAGGATGTGGCTCCACCCTCAAATACGCAGATGGATGTAGGCACCTCTCCTTAGAACCTTTGTGGCGCCGTCGGCTGAGGAACTCACATTTCTAACCTCCTTCCTAACCATGATCCATGACCCAGTCTACAGGCTCAGAAACAAGGTATATGCACTGCTTAAAATAAAACACCGAAAACCACTGCGTTGCAAGTTTTTAAAATGCGGCATAGTTTATCATGGAATAGTTTGCCAATACCCATCAGTAACTGTGACACTATCACCAAGTTCAAAAGACTAGTAACACTATTACTTGACATTAAAGAGCTTCATGAACTATTCCCTGAATTTCCGCCCACCGATGAGGCACTTTAATATAGACCGCCTAATATCTAGACCGATCATGAATATAAAGGACCTCAATCGTCATAAATATGAATACAACCAAATAATAGAACACATGGCTTAACCTCTCCCACTACTCATTGATTATTAGTTATGCCCATATGCTCCTACTCCGCACTTTCAGATTCCGAACCTCTCTAATGGTTAAAACTGAATTATTCTCCCCAAGTTTCATGTCCTTTTTTCCATTACATGTGAACAGAAAACTTAGTAACTCACTGATCAACTATGGGTGATCATAAGAAGCTCATAATGTCTTAAATTCTTGTGACCCGCTCAATGTTTTGTTTCCTTACCTTTAAAATTTCACATTCTAAACCCTTGCACATTCTTTGATTTGCTATCTTTTCTTACCATCTCTAAATCATATATAATCTGACCAATGTTTCATAACTTATACCATTAGTTATCTTCATAGCAGTGTGATATACTACATGGATACCTAGTCCACAATACAGAAGCTTTTACCATCTGACGTGCTTGTAATATTGAACTAGTAGAAACAGTGTATTCCAACAAGGAGCTTAGATTGAAGCAATATTCATGTACACCACAAACGTAAGAGAGCCAACATCACGAAGGAGGGAGGGTGGCGTTACTGACCAGCAAACATGATGGTAGGAAGATAACTTCAATCCGCCTGTGTCTGTAGGGCAGTACATGTTATTAAATTGTGGCTCCTTATGGTAAATGCGGATTGTAGTGGCATTGGGTCCTAAACATAGTCCTTGAAGTCACTCACGAGATAACTGGGAAAATAGACTTTCAACATGTAACACAAAGAGAAGGTCAATAATTCATTCGAAATTGGATTCAATCCAATCGAATGGCGTGGCTCACCCTAACAGATGTGGTCATTTTGTATAACTTGATTTACTCATATTAAATATCTTGTTCTATCTCCAACCTGAAGTGTTCTCCATCATATATTGGTAAGTGTTATGATACGATGCGTTAGTGTAGACAATTATGCGACTGTCACGTTAAATATTGAAGATGCTACAGGTATTCGGAGTTTGATATCGCTTTAACTAGTAACACCTTCTACTATGAATCGTACCCACCAAGCGAAATCAAGACAGAAGCGAAGAGGTTCGAAGATATATTTGACAGACTATCAATATATCGAGGATCGTCTGATCTAATCTGGCTAGCGATTGCAGGGGATGTTGAGCACGGGGTTCCCACTCGTGATCTGTTGCGAATGCATGACCGGGCGCCTTCAGCTAGATGAGTCCATTAAAACTAATGTGGTCAGCATCCAATATCGGAGACTGACAGAGTTACTTATTTCGGGGACTTATTTACCGCTACAATCTTATATATTAGGCAGTTGTGACAATTTTAGGATTAGTCTATTATTATAGCAGCACTAATAATGAAGTAGACCATAATTCTACAGAATGTCACGAACCAAAGGTAATGATGCTAATTTATTATGCGAAATACTTCTTTAAACCGTGCTTGTGACGTTGAGTTGGTTTCATTTCCTACTGAGTAATCCTATTATAAGGAAAACAAGACAATTCGCTAAAAAAGAAACCCACTTCAACAAAATAGTGAAATAGCCATTTGTGTATCACAATTATTGTATAGACCAAACCATTTTTACGATTGGGCAGTTCATGTTAGTCACCATGGACCTTAACGAATACCGATGATGCAGTCATGTTCAGTTGACCAATCGTCAAATATTTGATCTGACGAATAGTTTCATCAACGTTCGGTGGTATAAACCCAGCTCACATATCATTCAAACATAGACTGCGAGTCACGTAACTTTGCGATACGGTCATAAAGACTGGCTTAACTGTTGCTAGATATTCAATATCTATATGATGAGCTTGCTCTTGTATTTCAGCATCATTCCGTATTTTGAGATCTTCCATGGAATCCAATGAAGCCGGTGCTGTTAACTGGCCGAAACATATTTAGTAATTTGTCAAAGTGGGCATAGGATTAAAGATGCCACAAGTATTAGGACTTCGACAATGCCCTAACCGGGAACAACTTTTATAGTCGAAATCTGCCAACCTAGTCAAATCAAAAGTCAGAAACAATAGGTTCGAAGATATATTTGGAAGGCTATCGATATATCGGGGAGTGATTAATCTAAGCTGGCTAGATGTTGTAGGGGGACTAAAGCAGGGCGTACCGTCTCGTGATCTGGTATGGATGCGTAGCCAAGCACCTTCAGCTTGGTGAGTTCAGTAAAACTAATGCGGTTAGCATCAGATGTCGAAAACTTACAGGGTAATTGACTCAACACACTGTATAATAACGCAAGGTTGATTGTATACTTTTAGACTTAAAGTGCTGCCCCAGGAGTTTTTCGGTTGTATAATCTAATATTACAGAATAAAAACAATTCTACCTGCCTGTGACTCGCTGTAACGAAGGTCTCTTTTACTTTAGTTTTAACTAACGGCTTATCTGACACAGTTAAAAATAAAACCAAAGTGACCTATGGCTCTAAATTTTGATAAATCTACCAAATTTCAATGATTACATGTCGAAAATAGAGAAATTTAAGATAACGAGTTAACCATTCGAAATTTCTCGAAATTAATATTTTCACATTGAGTTAACTGATCAAAGAAAGGAAAAGATCGAGCGAAACGGACCTGGTTATGGGGTTCATATGGCCAGTTAAAGGATTGTTTAAAATAATCTATTTTTTCCCCAATCAGACTTTTAATGCTTCGTTCTGTTGATAGTCAAGGTCGAACAATGAAGAAGTGTGGTAAGTGTCCTGGGTATTATTTTACTGGTGGGATCACTTTTTGCGAACTCCTTAGGTTGACATTTGTCAAGCCTAATAAACTAGCATTCCTCTTTGCCAGATGTTTTGATGTGGTCGATAATTAGTCTGTACCTAATAATTATTTTTGCGACTACTGCGAAGGCTCTCCTATCCCAAACTCTCGACTTTGGGGAATTCCCCAAATGTTGGGGTTTTTGTGCCATTTTCCCAATGTTTACTATGGCAGCTTTCCAAAAATGTGTCAAATGTTTCCCAAAATTGGGAGATTGGGAAGTGAGATGTCTTTCTCGGCCTTTCGTCCTCTAGACAGATATCTCGGAACCGAATACTGCTATAGCAGTCCGGATTATAATCCATGCTGTCTTCTTAGATATTGTTATCTTAAAGGGATCGTTCCTAGCATTTAGCTGTCCCTTGACAGTTCATTCACACCTCTAGTTTGATGTAATATATCGTAGTGGCCTCACACCAACCCTAAGATACAAATGGGTTAACCTACTAATTCATTTACAGTTGAATTTTAGGGAACTGCTCTAACAGATTTTTAGGATATCTTCAACAGAAACCGAAAACCACACGTTTGACGTATATTTGGCAATACATACACATTACATAGAACGTTCTCTGTAAAGTGAATAAAATGATACAGGAGGTACTTCATTCTTTCTACTTGCCCACTGCCTCTGATTCTGTTAAAGGAATGCGTCTACTATAGTACGTCTATGGAGAATGGTGTGGCGAATGTAATCGATTTTAATTGAAAAACCAAACCTTGTAAAAAGTGAGTTGCGATCAGGGAGTTTGTGGGCGGAATGGATTTTCTTAGAAAATCGGGTACAAGTTACTCTGAGAATCGATGTCGACTATGAATTTCACACAGTCTAGAGGCGAATGTCACTCTAACAATTGATTTTGCCATTATATTACCGAAAATATTTCTGTTCCCCAAGATTTGACTACATGTTTTAGTTCGTTATTCGGACAACTTCTGTTTGATAAGTTTTAAGTCAGAGATGACTGGCTATAACCCTACATAATGTACCTAACAACAAGAGGTGATAGTTAAAAAGGTATATTAAAGTAACTATAGATTTTTATTCTGAGTGGTACTGAGATTTCAATTCCTCTATATGCTATTAGGGCAAGCAGCAAATGAACGTACAATTTCGATCTTAAGCGTTTTCTGTACAACCTGTGCAAAGTTTAATTTATGTATCGTCTGAGCTGTATATACACTTTCCTATCCTACCACAGACGTTAAACTGGTCCAATATTTTGATAAAGTTTTGCTTCTGGTGTAATAGTGTAGTAGTTTCCATTGAATAATCAGCTCATAAAAAACGTGAGTGACGGAAATTGGGGCAGCTTTGAGGTTAGTATTCACCTCTGACTAATTTATTTGTTATGAAACAGTTATTCAGACAGCGGTTCAAAAACATACGCTCGTAAAAAATTAAACCAAATAAATATACATAGTTACTTAATTGACTTACGCCTGTTACCTTTCGTGGGGGAGCGTAGGTCATCCACCAGCATTCTCCATCGAACTCTGTCTTGAGCAGTCCTTTTCAGTTGCTATTCGTCCTTTTGGTATCTTCTTCCAATTCTCGGTGCAGTGTTTTTTGACCTTCCTCTCTTCTGTTTCTCTTCAGGATTCCAAGTTAGCGATTTTTTCGTGATGCACTTTGAGGATTTCCGCAATGTATGTCCTATCCACTTCCACCGCCTTTTCCTAATTTCCTCTTCAGCTGGAGGTTGGTGTGTTCTCTCACATAGTAGGCTGTTGCTGATGCTATCTGACCAACGGACATTCGATATCTTGCGTAGAAGACATAATTAGTACACTATTCACACTCGAAATAAAACATTTCTGACGTGAAAAGTTTGGACTTTATTCCAATTTTAAGTCACATTGTGAAACCGACTTTGAAACTACCCACTTTCTCACTGAGGCATTACCTGCTGAATATCGAGAAGGTTTCAGGGCCAGTATCTCCGCTAACTTATATTGCTAAGCTTCATACTTTCTTGGGTTGCGGCGATAAGTTTACTCGAAATTCACAACATGAGGATGGACGGTACACTTTGAGTGAATCATGACATCTAAATCGTATATGTCCGTATCAAATGTGGTAGTTTTTGAGGTTTTTTTTACATACATGTAATACATAGTGTTGAATAAAAACCCACTTTGATGAATCTTTTACGCGTATGTTACCTAGCCTTATTTTAGGTTCATTAGTGTTCCACGAAATATATGTAGGAACAACACTTGATTTTGATGTACAGTTGTTATCCAGCTATCGGCCGATGATAAAGGATGTGCTACATCACATAATAAAGGAAACTGTTTTCGTGATTGGCAATCTCGTGTTTGTTTAGTTTAGCTTTCATTAAACCAAATTATTATTTATTTTAGCATTTCAGTCTCAGCAGTCCGTCTCTCCTGATCAGTCATCATGGTATGATCCTATTGAGTAAATCAAATTCATTATGATTTAGGATCATTTCATCATTGGCAAAGAATTATCTGCACATTCTGATGTTTCTTACGAAACTAAATTAAAGAAGTGTAAACGTAAATTTTTGTTCGAGCCCATTCCAGAAAATGAAATTGAGAAAGCTTATGCGGAATTACTATCAGGTCTATCTCAAGAGTTTGCCCGTGCGTCAGTACGCTTATCTAAAGGCATAATCGAAAACGGTCGGGTTCGTCTTTCACAAATATGTGGGAAGTATTTCCGTATAATGGGTTTCTCTCTTGATGGCTCATCTTATCTTCATCCAGAAGAAGCATTATACCTTGCTGAATGTAATAAAATCCAAGTACTTGTTAGTGGTTTACCACTGAGTATTCAAGAACTTTACGACCAGCTTTTAAACAATGAAACATATCCACACTATCTGGCCTACTCTCGATTATCACGATTAAATTTCAGTCTTCGAAAACGAGCAAATTTTGACCTACAATCATATTACCACAGTGTGACAGATAAATTATTTAAAATTCCAAAATCAATTAACGTTTCAATTACGACTTATCCACTTTTAAACCAAGAATGTAGAAAACCTATCAGAAAGAGAAAGTTCAAAGACTTTCAACCACTTATTAATCGTAATACAATACATTCTATCACTGGTCTTATGCATAATTTACAAGAGATTGTACAACCTGCCAGTGATAAGTCTGTTAAATCAACGAACGATTTAAATCTACTCTATGATATTTATGGAAACAATCATGCAGAGAAAAGACGTATTATTAACTTCTCTAAACGCTCCCCTCCTCATCCTGATTATGTTTTATCTGTTTTGTCACCAAAACAAATATACCCAGACATAGAATCTCAAAGTTTGATAAAAGTTGGTATACAGCCAGATACATCTGTTCTTATATGCATGGTAGATGGATGTGATGTTTCATTTTATATAACAAACTGTTTTGCAATTCCAAATATTAATTTTCAAGTAACTCGTCAAGAAAATATGCCGTGAATATAGATTAAATAAAGGATTATTTGTGTACACTTGCTTTTTTTATACAATAAACTCAAGTCAAACACTTCAAAATCCTGTCGTTATTGGTTTTACCAGTTTCACGCTCATTTTATCCAGTAAATAAGCGATGGGTTCACCTTTGGATCCCGTTCTTATTCAGCTTTTTTTGCAGAACTAAAAATCGGACCTCTCAAGGAAGTGATTGATATGCTTGACTTTTGTTGCCGTTGCATTGATAACAGTTTCATTATCGTTGATCAGAACATCAGAAAAAATCTTTTAGGGCGATTTAACAAAATACACTCAGAAATCAGATTTATGTGTGTGGGGGGAATTCGATAACAAATTACATTTTTATGTGTTAAACAGGAAAGAAAATGTTCCTATCAGTAAATGTGTATATAGAAAAAGTTCTTCAGTAAGCAAGTACACACACTTTCTGAACATTGTACTCATTCGTCACAAGATTAACCCAGTTAGATGTCTTGCAAGTAGAACTAGGAAGATATGCTCAGACAGCACCACAAACAAAGGACTAGAGCACAATCACAATATGTCGATTGAAATGGGTTATGTACACGGTTTTCTTAAACTCGTATATGATGAACCAGGAAATAGCAACATAGTTGGCTAGTAAGAAACCTCTATTTCTGAAGCTACAATTCGATGAACATATAGCTAGCGATGTATTACGAGATAACTTGACTAAAACAATAAAAATGATGTTTAATTCAGATAACCTCGATATATCGTTTTCTAGCCGACCCATGGTGGTTCCTCAACTAAGGAATAAGTTGCCTGGTTCTGTCATATCAATGTATATCTACGAATCCAGCTGCTCCTGTGGAAAGGGCTATATTAGACGTACAGCCAAACAGCAGGGTGAACGAGCTGACGAACAACTCCTTTTATGCTTAGGAAAGAATATGGTCAAAACGCAGCTCTGTTCTATCACACTTTGTCGATAGCGGTCATTTTGTGAATAGAAACAAATCATTCCAAGTCATTTGTCGCACACCAATTGGCTTTCTTTATGGTGTTCCATCTCCTCTCTTACACAACAGAAGCTGTAGAGATTGAGCTAACAATTTAAACCTCTGTGTTTATAAGAAATTCGTAACACCCTTATCTCTTCCTTGGTCGAATAAGCATTTACAAACGACTTTACTTATCTCATTAAAACCAAGAACCGATCAATGTTAGGATGCTATTGGAAGTTTGGAAGCAATGGACAACTGTCTCGTTCTAGTATGAGGTTCCTTGGCAGTGCTTCCAGGTTTTCAATAGTGATGTGGCATAGATTGGTTCAGGGTTTTAATAAAATCCAATAATCTCCGTAACCCATTCTGAATATTTTATTTATTATTAACTCCAATAATTTTAAGGTGCTTATTTTTCTCACTCCCTTTCTTCAAATATGCGCTTCACTGTCCAATCATCCGAGCATTGCATAACTTCATGATTTTTAATGAATGTTATTTCAGTATCTATCTTTTCAAGTCGGACTAATTTTTATCATGAAACATTGATTCAACCCCGTATTATTCTTATCTTGCCCCCAAATGCCCTGGTACGGCCGAGAGTGGGGAGAGTCCGCTCTCCCTCACGAAATGCTCTCACATGGCCATGCGTATATAGCCCCTGCCAGGGAAGTCCTACTCACTGCCTTCTCGTGGCGGGGGTGTTGTTTACAAAAATGAGAGGACGAAAAGCGAATGTCTGGCGCTTTAACCGGACCCCAAATCAATGGTGCACATGGGCTCCAGTATCCTGCGGGAACAAATGGCGTATGAACCAATCGTTGGTCACCGGCTACCATGGGACTGCATCTCCTCACGATGCTCCACTGCCTTGTGGGTCAGACGTTCAGGTCAAAGGCTCGGGGTGTGGCCCCCTAAGACAACCACCTGCTTCGGTTTGGGCACCCGAGCAGTATCACAGCCCTCACACAAATCAAATGAGATTTGTGTGGCGCATATGTATTTTGGTGCCTCCCTGTACCTATACTTATGTGTTAAAATAAATAAATAAAATTATTCTTATCTTAACTAGTGCATCTGTCATCAAATTATTAATATGTACTTTCCACTTTTCATGTTTACTTATGTAACCTATTCCGTTGTTACCACTGACATTACTGACTCATAAACTGCATTGTTCAGTTTAGTAGTTTTATATATGCACCTAAATATTGTTTTGTATTAGAGTGAAGCCTGATGAGGATCCAATTGAAAATAATGTTGTTAGCTTACATACGTTATATTCTAAGAACTGATTATTACAAAACCAAATACTCGCACAGGGACTTCATCTGTAGTAGACCTTATGAAGCCGTCTTTTGTATTTTGCGGTCGTGCTATTGTAGTCGACGGGACTGTCATTAGTAACTTAGGTTCTTCAAAAGTATCTCAATTATATCAGCAACTGGGTGTCAGTCATGCACACTGGGTTAGATGGACTATACTTCGTCTTTCGGAAGTATAAAATGCATGGTTTCATAGTATTTGGTTATAGGTGCTTGTTGTATGAATAGCGGTAAGGTTAGGTATATCGTACTGCGCACGACATAACTGAGTGGACGACAGTGAAGTTCGGATCATTGTGGAACAATCAATTGGATGGAATTCATCACTCTATATCAACTTCATTGACTACGAAAAAGCATTTAATAGCGTGGACAGAACAGCACTATGGAAGCTTCTTCGACACTACAGCATGCATGAGAAGGCAGTCAACATCATACGGAATTCCTACGATGGATTAAACTACAAAACTGTGCATGGAAGACAATTGATAGACTTGTTCGAGGTAAAGACCGGTGTTAGTTAAGGTTGCTTGCTATCACCCTTTCTCTTTCTCCTGGTGATCGACTGGATCATGAAAACGTCAACATCTGAAGCTAAGCACGGGATACAGTGGACAGCTAGAATGCAGCTGGAAGATCTAGACTTCACAGATGATCTGGCTCTTCTATCGCAAACGCAACAACAAATACAGAAGACAACCAGTGTGGCGGCAGCCTCAGCAGCAGTAGGTCTCAATATACACAAACAGAAAAGCAAGATACTGTGATACAACACAGCATGCAAAAATCGAATCACATTTGACGGTGAAGATTTGGGAGATGTAAAATCCTTTACATATCTGGGCAGCATCATTGATGAACACGGTGGATCTGATGCAGATGTGAAGGCGCGGATCGGCAAAGCAAGAGCAGCATATCTACAACTTAAGAACATCTGGAACTCAAAACAACTATCAATCAACACCTAGGTCTAAATTTTCAATACAAATGTCGAGACAGTTCTACAGTGTGGGGCAAAAACCTGGAGAACTACGAAAGCCATCATCCAGAAGATAAGGGTGTTTATTCACAGGTGTCTACACAAAATATTTCGAATCCGTTGGCCGAACACTATCAGCAACGACCTACTGTCGGAGAGAACAAACCAAATCCCAGCAGAGGAAGAAGCACAGAAAGTGGATAGGACACACATTGAGGAAAGCACCGAACTGCATCGCAAGGCAAGCTCACTTGGAATCCTTAAGGTTAAAGAAGAGGAAGACCCAAGAACACATTACGTCGAGAAATGGAGACAGACATGAGAAGAATGAACAACAATTGGATAGAACTAGGAAGGAAGGCCCAAAACAGAATGGGTTGGAAAATGCTGGTCGGCGGCCTTCTCCACTGGGAGTAACAGGCGTAAGTAAAAACTAAATAAATATCACATTGGCCACCACTCAGTGACAGGCCAGTGTAGATTCAATAAAAACAGACTCACCTCTTAACGCTTATCGACAAGTGTACAAAACTTGTATACGTTTATCCGAAGATTGACGAGATTATTTAACTTCCGAAGCAAGTTAGTTTCGAGTTCACTAAGTGAACTTCAACATGCCTAGATCACTTGAATGCGTTTTCAAATAAGAACATATACTGAAATAGAAAACTGTTATTTATTGAACAGTTTGTATTTGAAAAAGGATAAAATATCATTAAATTCAAAAAATATAGAAATAAATATTACATCACCAAGAAAATATCGTGGTAAATTAAGCTGATAATAAGTTAGAAATAAGTAGTAGAAAACCATATTTCATTCGTGTTTTTCATATAAAGAATGTTTTAAAAAAATGAAATATTGCTTATTTAGTCGGTTGCATTTATCAGATGAAAATGACATGAAGTAAAGTACGTCAAGGTTAATGAATTCTTCATACAAATTCTCTTGTGAGTTTTTTATATATTAGAGGGTGATTGTTGACGTTGATGTTCACGCATTGATTCACGTTCAAGTATCTAACATGATAGTAAAGAAAAGCAAAAACAGATAATTTGATACTAAATTCATTCTAATGTGATGTTATGCTCTTGAACTGGGCTTAATTTCCAAAACTGTGCTAATGATATAAGTCATTTGTTCAGAGTGAAGTGAGATGAAATTCTCAACTAGGTATTTGGAAAATGTTGGTTTAGATTCGACTGACTCACATTCAATTATACATAGTTCTTTTGTAATCAATTTACCTCCTGAACTAGCTTTATTGTTAATACTTGAAGAATATATGTCTAGAATCTCAGACATTCCGATGCAGCCAACACAATTGGATGTTGTGCGTTATTTGACTTCAGATTGAGGAGCGATAAGCTGAAAGATGATTTTTGTTAATTCTCATTATTTTAAACATTATACTGTGTTACCTGACTGTTGTTGCTACCTTGACGTGGTGGTAGGGCTTGCCTATCGTGATGAAGCAACTGAGCTATACTGGCTGGAACAACCGTTCCTCAAGGTCCTACCATGCCAGACAGGTCGGTTGAAGAGCGGTAAGACTAAAAGCAACAAAACCAAGGTCCGAACGCGAAGTCGTACTGCTGACTGTACAGAGGTGTGACAGCAGTAAGGTGTTTCTTTCAGACAACCAGCATAACAGCGATGCTGCCTTCCCAAAAGGAGGGGAGGGGTTGGAAAAGGTCGACCCTAAAAATGCACACCTCGCCTTATCCCATGGATATCCGTCTCCGGCGGTAAGGTCTCAACAAGTACGGAGCTAGCACAAAAATTACTCATAAAAAGGTCGTGTGTGACCGACCTCAAGCAGCTGTCCCTTGGGCACTGCGGTCACGCTCTCAGGTCACT